TCTTAACTGGACCCTGAGCATGTGTGGAGGTGGGAACGTGCTTGAATTGGTAGGGAAGGAGGTAAGTGGAAACATCGCCTGCGTGGAGTTCTGGGGGCTTAATGAGAGAGTGGTGAAGGATGTAAGTGTATGTCTTATTCGGCACTCACGTGCAGGCTGGTCTGGTCCTGTCACCATGCCTGGTGACACTGTTGGCACTCAAATAGTGGTGGCTGAGAGTCCTTGTCTTTAGGTAAATTCAGGTGCTATACGTAACAAAATACAATTTTTCAGGGTGTGGCAGTGGTCACACAACTTGACACCCACTAATTTTTAGTTTTTAGCATTCCTACATAAAAAGGCATCCTGAAGGCTTAAATTAATTGCTTCTGAAATATTCCAAGTGTGGAAATTTTGTCTACTTAAGAATAACAATGAAACAAAAGTAAATTATGGTGAAAAGAATAACACCACAAGAATCTTTGGAGCGTATTCCTACTGCTGGACAATTTAGCTTTTGCAGCAGCTTTACACAGATCACTTAAGTTCAGTAGATGAAAAGCGAATTTAAGTCCCTGGAGTTCTTGCTAATTACAGCACAATGAGTAGCTATGGAAACGTCAATGCAAAATGTGATCGTAATACAGCACTACTATGGAGACACTTGTGTTTGTGGCTCCCGAAACAACTGGTAGCACTGCCCCTTTCTGAAAGGGTGTAGTGGTGTTTGTGTGCAAACAACAACATCTGGATGCTATAGGCCAGCCTGTCATTGGTGCTTGGTTTCTTAACTGTCGTGGTTCTCTCTGTAAACTCACAGTGGGTTTTTTTTGTTTTGGTTTGGTTTTTTAAGCTGAGGAAGACTGTGGGGAAAGGTGTGCTCCCAGGTGCTTGTTACTGCTGATCTTGCTCTTTTGAGCACACTTAATGCCATTCCAGCAGGTAAAAGATGCTTGCTTACTTAGATAAGAGTGCAGGATCAAACCTGAGTAATTTAAAAAAAAAAGATGCTGTGCTGGATAGATGTATTTTGACTTGATATATCTATCTGTCTGTCTGAATATATTGAGTTGATCAAGAACAGGCTGGCAGAACTGACAAAAGTCAACCTAAAGTAGACTGTTGCAAATGAAATTAAAACTGACATTCTTTCAATTATGAACAAATTAAACAAAACAATTGAGCATAGTAAATACTTAGAGTTGGCTCGGAAAGGATATGCTGAGGTGAATAATTCAATTCTCTGTGTTTCTTCTTCCTTTTTGCACATCCAGGATGAGTGAAGCAACCATTTGGGGACGACTGGAATTTATTTGCTCAGAGGCAGGGAAGACTTTCTGATAGCACTTGTTTATTGCAAGCTTGCATTCCTCGTTAATTCCCTTCTGCTTCATCAATCTCCACCTCTTCAGTTCCTTCTCCATCTTTCAGATCTTTTGCAGCCTTTCCTTCATTTTGAAAGGCTTCAAGAAAAGCGCATCTGTCTTAGGAACTCTCCATACAATTCTGTAGCAGCAAATTCTCACCCTTAGAAATGATGAAAAATGTGTTGTTTGCAGAGTGCTCTTTGATGATTTATATGGCAGAGGAGATTGGCTGTGTCGTTCCATGCTGCAGGAAGATTCCAAGAGTATTGTAGTGCTGTTAGGCAATACAATTTTTTGTATACATCGAGCAGTCTGTCATAAGCAAGTCTTTCTGTCAAATTACGACAGACCTTGGGTCCTAGAATAGGAAAGACTGATTTGCAAAGAAATAGCAATCTGCTTTGAGCAAAGCAAAGGTAGTGAGGCTTTAACCTTACTCTTGTAATTCAAGCTGGAAAACTTCATGGATTTGATTCAAACTGCTGGAAAATACATGCTTAATCTGGAGTGTTCCCTCATAAACGTTACCAGTACTATGGTCTGGACTCAGGATGTCACTTGGTACATTGTTACAATGATTTCCTGGTAGCAGGACCTTCTGATAGCTATTCTTCTGAGCAGAATCCATTCTGATCTAGGTTCCTATAGACTGATCAAATTACCTCTTATGATGTTTAGCCAAAAGCGAATTATTACCTGCATTGTTCTGTTGTGTATAGTGGCTGAAGCTTGTTTCCTGATTTTTATTCAGCATTTTTTCTTTTTAAAAAAGAAAAGTTCCAATTTAGGCTTCTCCCCAGCCGTGTATGTTGAGATCTGTGGAACTGACAGATGTAATTATTTTGTTGTACGTTGTAGCTTAGGCATACGCAGTGTTCAGTGATCACATCCATGAACATGTCCATGCAGTAACCCATCCATCCCAGTGAGCGACCCCCTTCTCTTTTGCCAAACAATGCTGAGTGCCCCTTATTTGTGCTGATCTGAGCCAGTCTCCTCCAAGCTGATCTGGCTGTTGCTACTCCCTGTAGTATTTGGAAGAATCCTGGAGTTTCCACAAAGTTTGCAGGCTTTGTCATGCTCTCCTCTGCAGCGTCTTCTAATCGCCGCTTGTTTTGTGTACCATGTGTGACCATACTGGCAGGCTCCATGAACTGGGGCTGCTCCCTGTGCTACACCTGTCATCTGTGGACCTGTCATCTCCAAAATGTGTTGGTATGAAGGTACTGAGTCCCAGGTAATGATAAGGGGTGCTTAGTTGTCTTGTCTGCGTAGTGTGTCACGAAGGACATGTGCCATACCTGGAGTATAAGCTAATTGCACAAGTCCTGCTGGATTGGCAGTGGACATCTCAAGGTAGAACAGTTCACCTTGGTGATCTATAACTAGCACTAGGGTATGGTTCTTGTAACAGATTTTGCTGATGGACATGGGGCCTGTACCTGTGGACTTGACTGCTTTGCTGCAAATCTTAGCTGAGAGCAAAATGGAGTTGTAATGTGAGGTAGTGGTGTCAACACCCAGTTTTGTTCCTTGGTGCTGTTTTTATTCAGTGATACAGATGCAGCCAGTAAAGATGAAATGTTGCTCTGAGAAAATCATGTTTGGAAGGCCTGATAGGTTCTGTGTGACCTGCTGCCTTGTGTCCTGACAGGTTGTGTGGGAGACTGGAGCTAGATTTGACTTCCAGCCTAACTGCTAGTATTTTGGGGGACCTTGGAGTGTCACCCCTTGGGTTTCAGTTTACCCTGTTCCAGGACAAGTGCAATGATACTGACTTCTGTTTGTGCAGTGCTTTCAGATCTGCTAAAAGGTGTTAAGGTGTCCCTGCTTGGTGACAAAGGGCTACAAATGGGTGTGACAGCTCAGAGTCTGTTCAATTAATAAATACAGCTAGGTGAGTAATTTGAGGTTCTTGGTCAAGTTACCTATGTTTGAGGTAAGTGGTGACGTTTTCCTATGGCAAAAACCATTAGGCTTTTTTTCTTTTTCTCCTTGCTCTGTTTTGTGAGTAGAAAGCACCATTTAACTATTGTCTGGTCTTCAAAGGACTTAAGAAGCTGGAGTTGATCTTTATCTCTTCTTGTCCTACCTTGTCTCACAAATATTTATGGCTTTTGACCTTCTACCATGTATGTCAAACTTGTTACTGAGAGATGATGCATGACTGTGCAAAGAGAAGCTGACTTTGAGTCCTCTTGTGAATTAGATATCCCTGAAATTTCATTGGACTGGAGTTGATATCTGGAGGGGATGTTCTGTCTCATCAGCTCCTTCATCCTAGTATTTAAGAATGTCAGTTGTTTGTCCAAACAAACAGCATTTTGAAGGGTACTTCAAATGGGTCGTATCACCATACGAAATAAAAGGAGGTAGAGGGGGAAAAGAGAATGTGGAAAATCATTCCTAGATAAAAGCCTTCCCTTAGTCCCACCTTTTTTGAAAGTTCTTGTGATGGAGCTCTTGGCAAGAGAACAGAAGAGCGTGAACATCTTTGCAGTGGAGAGCAAGAGAGGGTTAAGCACCGAGATCAAAGGAAACAAGTAGGGCTGAAATTCTCCACTGTGGAGGATCAGGCTGCACCCTTCCATGGCGGACTGATCAAAGCGGGTGCTGCTTCTGGAGGTTGGCAAGGCAGGAAAAACCCTTCCCGTATCCCTTTTCCTTTCAGAGCAAAACCAGCAAGCTCATATGATTAGGCTTTGCGTGGAGTTTCCTTGTTTGCTCCGATCTTTGGTTAATGGCAGCAGCCTGTGAGAAGTTGATGTGCCAGCCTCCATTTTTCTTTCCAAAACTGGAATTTAAGCATGCTGATAAAAACTTGTGGGAGCTTACAAACAGTAAGCAGTGAGGTTACTTCTCCTTAGCTAATGATTCGTGACTTGCCCATCTGTGAGGGAGCACAGTGTGCTCCTTTTGGGTTCACAGTGTTGGTTGGAGCTGTTGCTGTGCACAGAAACTACCCTTGTGCTGGCAGCCTCCTGGTCCTGCTGTGTGCCAGGCAACATTTCCTGCTTGCCCTCTTTGAGGCTTGTTGCTGAAGTTGCTGACCACATTGTTGGGGCTTCTGAAGAGGTCAGCTGTAGATTCAGACCATGAAGAGAGAGGTTTGCTTAACCTCAGGGAAATTGGGGAGTTGATTTGAGATGCAGGCTCTGGTTTTGAGGATAGGATGGTTAGTACAGGTTGTGCGTGCTGGGAACATTCTTGAAGCCTGCAGGGTAGTGGATGTTTTGATTCAGAGATCCTAAATAGCCAGAGCATACTGTGTGTGTATATATATATTTTTTCTTTTTTTAACCTCTGTTCGGAGTCTAATTATTGCTCAAACAAAATGGTGTTTGACCAAGATCAAACAATAGTGCTTGACAGTAACTGATGTAATTGCAATTATTAAACTTCAGACTTAAGAAGAATGCTAAGATCTATACCTGGAAACATGTACACGTTTTTAGAATCATGTCCTGGTGGTGCATCTGAAATGAGTATATTCCTGATCACAAATAAGTCAGGAGCAATTCAGAATTTCTGACAAGATAACCAAGAATCACAGTTTTCTCTGGGAACCAGTAAATTAGCAGTCATTGGATGTCCTCTGAATTTTTTTTTCCATTCAGGAGGAGTTATGATAATTTTTTTCTTTCTTTTTTACAGCAATGCTGAGTGACAGTAACTCTGTGAAGCCAAAAAGTGATTGTTCACCTCCTGTGCAATGGTGTAAGGTGACTGCATGTGAAGATGTTAAGACCAAGCTGGTTTTTAAAAGGTATTCTCAAGTAAGTGTCATTGTCATGGCAATATAAAGGTCAGTAGTTCTCCTTCTAGCCTGGGCAGTTACAAAAAGGTTGCAAAAATCAAGGGATGAGATTGCCACAGGAACTGAATGGAGGGTTAGGCACATGACTGTCCTGGGGCACCTAAAACGCTTTGAGGAGCCTAGGCTTTCTCGTAGTACTATCTGTTTTGCTAAGCCAATGTGAGATACCAGTACTTTACTTGCAAGTATTTCCAGTCTTTTTTTGTATCCAGAAAAGTAACAATGTTGAGGTTTTTGTACAATCTGAGCGCTGAAGAAATTGCGGGGCAGTAGATGTTCAGTGGGTATTTTGGGGAGGTAGTTAATTTGTTATTAACATAGTTAATTTGTGAAGACTTCTGGCATGCTCCATCACAAAGTCTTCGTTACTCCATTGTTTGCAGTTTAACATCAGATTGGAATTAATAAGTGTGTGCTAGTGTACTTCCAGAACCATATTTTAAACTAGAAAAGCTCACTACTGTGATGCCTCTCTGCTGCATGAATTGTTAGATCTTAAAGCTTAAAAAACCCAAAGCCAAACTGTTATATCCTCTGATGTTTTGAGGACCTGAATCATGGTGCAGCCCCAGCTGAATCTAGAGAGACTCATTAAACCTCTGTGGAGGAAAATGAGCCTCGTTCATCAGCTGTGAATCTCCTGTTTCTGCCAGTCAGCTGATTTCCAGGGGTTGCAGCCTAACATGCTGATGAAAATTTTAGACCCCTTATCAGTGCAAAATTTAATGTAGTTAAATCAGATGCAAGAACAGTGCTGCTTTTCCAGTGGCCACCTTAAAATAAGATGTCAAGATTGCATCTCTTAGCCCATATGGTACAGACTTTTTAATTAAAATAAGTCTTGAAAACCTATTTTAACTTTATCTGAAGGAGTTTCAAGAAGCAATGAACTCTTAGTAGGTGGTATATATTTTTTTAAGATGTTTAAACAAATGTCCAGGTCTTAGGAAACCATAGGAAATGAAAATCGATAATAAAGCTCAGCGTACATGCCTGAGCAACAGCCACAACTCTAACCAAATAATGGTGTAATTTTTGCAAATTGTTTTAGACATGAAATGAGCCAAGTGAGTATTTGGAGATCACCAGTGAGATTCTTTAGGAATGAGAAATTGGTAGATCAAAAATACAAATAGTCTGTATTATTCAATTTTAAAGGTTTTTTTATTCTTCTACATGTTTGGGGGATGTAAATAATTAAATTAGGCTTTTCAAGATGAATCTGAGCATTTAAATCTTGCATTTGAGTTTGCCAGAAAGTTTTGCTTATGAGTCTTGGCCATTGACCCAAAATTTTGAAATTTGAAGTGCCATCTCTTTTTTTAACTTGCACGAAAATACATATTTCAAAATAAAGCTGCCCTTTTAAAGCAGGAGAACGAAAGCGTCTTTTAGTTTCTTTACATGAGAAGAGCTGTTTGACCCATCAGAGATGCATTTAAAGTATATGATGCAAGCATAGAACTGCATGAATCAGTGTCAATATGCAATATTTTCTTTATGGATGTTTGTACTTTCCTGAAGGTAGCTAAAGAGTTGTGAAAGACTTGCAGTGAACAAAGAAACATTTTTTTTTTTCCTGGTTTGAATCAAATTCACTTTTTTCAACTGCCTTAAATTTGCTTAAAAATACTCATTTAGCAATTGATAGATTACTGGAAAAAAAGATGATTTTTTTTTTTTTTTCCTTTCTCCTACCCCTACACCCTCCTCTTTGCTTCTAGGCGTCTTGCACTGGTCGTACTAGGAGGGTCCTTCCTTTATCTCCTCGTGATATGTTTTGGACCTCAAGAATGTCACAGAACAAAAATGTCATATGTGGACCTCGATCGCGTAAGGGTTGGTATTTTTTTGGTTTTGGCTTTTTTTTTGACATGATTTAAAAAAAACTTAATAATTGACAGTAAAGGAGTTATAAGGGTCTATAACAAATAACTAGAATACTGAAATTATCCTGTAAGGGAAAAATATATTTTTCTTCATTACATGCTGTAGAACTTCTGGTTTTTGTTCTCGTGGAGTGACAAGAAGTGCACAGGGAAACTGGATTTTTAGGGGTAAGATGAGATAACTGTGACTGTAAAGAATAACAGTTTGAAATGGGCATGTCATCATACTGTTGTGTCAGTGCAGATAACACTGGTGATCAAAAATTGATGCAAATGAAAAGTAACATATTTAAAAAAAAAATTAAAAATCCCTAAACCCAACGTGTTAAACCAACAGGTTATTTTTACCAAAGCTGTTTCCCCAGTCTACTTTGCCTTGTAGTTGCTCATATATTTTTTGACTCATAGGACAAATGTGCAAGAGGGTGCAGCCCTTGGTTCATTTATTTAAGACAGCAGCTACTTCTGCTACAGTTTTGCATGTGGCTTTTAGGATGGTGTAACAGATGCCAATAAAGCTTTCTCTTAATTCTTGCTGACATTTCTCTGCCTTTGCTACCTAACCTGTTTGTTCTTTGTAACAGTACTATTTTGGCTTAGGGTTGTTACGTTTCTCTGTTTCAGTGTCTCAAGGCTAAGGCACAACTTAGAGCAGAAGCCCTAATATAACAATCTCAGCATCACTGCATGTGCATCCTCTCCCACCCTCTTTGGTGCATGTTTTGCTCCCTTTTTCTTTTCATTTGTCTGACTTCTTTCCTTAACCTCTTTTTGCTTCCAAATAACCACCACCTTATGCCAAGCAAACCTAAAGACTGCATGGATTATGTTTATTGCCGTCTTAAGATTCATTTTGTATTAGATGCAGGATGAGGAAATAGCATTGTTCTTTCTCTAGTGAGGTAGTAGCCGATTGCAAATGGTTTGGGGCAGTTGTCAAGTGATTGGAATTATTTTTTACTGATAGGATGCACAACTGTCTGCCTTAAAAAGGAGGCTTTTCTGACGATGCACTGACTCTTGCCGGCAAAGTACAGCATGAAGTTGTGCGGTTGTGCTTTGCCCAGGAAGAAGTGTGGTGTTTATGCCCAGACTTGCAGAGACCATTGTTAAGGGTGGCAGAGGTAATTCCATAGAACAGTCTTGCTTAAAAAAAAAAAAAAGAATAAAACCACACAACTTCCCTCCTTGTGCACCCAGATACACACGTCCCTTTCCTTAACACTATAGAAGGGGAACTGAGTTAACACTAGGTTCTCTACCCTCTGTGTTTGCTCAAGGGTTTGGATTTTTTTTATTACAGTGAAAGAAAGATCAGCAGAGTTGTATCAAGGAAGACAATATGCAAAAAGGTTTTTATTTTAACTGATAAAACTAGTATCTATGCTATTTCTCTTCTTCCTTACATCAGATACTGGCTTGCCACTACACATTTTTAAAAAATGTACATGAATAGGGTTGTTTTAGTGTTTGTTTTTTTTTTTTTAATGAGATGGATCAACATGTAGCTTTATCTGACAGCTTAATCTTTTTATGCAATATGGAATTTTAGTCTTATTTTGGTGACTAGTCTTTGAAAGAAGACTTGAAACACCTCCACCTTGCATTCTTTTTAAAGTTATGTTTTAGTCATTAGCAATACCACTTTAGCAATGCTTCTGGAAGAAGTGTTCCTTCATTTTCATCAGTAAGCAAGTTCAGCCTGCCATTTCACAGAACTTTTATCCCATGGATGTGTCTCTAGTAACATCCTGCTGCAGGTAGAACTCAGGTCATGCAATTGAGTAGTGGAGTAGAATTCCACTTGCTGGCTTACTGCTGAATTAGATCGGTATAAGTACATCTAGGTTTTTAATCTGTTCTTATAAGTAACAGTACAAATGTTCTCAAATGACTTGTTTTCACTGATCTCTTTTAGTAGCCTAATTTATTCTTTAGAAAAGCTCCTATCCAGATTTAAGTGATGAAGAGACATTCCTTTGCAGGTTTTCACCCTGCACTGGTTAGTATCTGCATTTGAGTGAACGCTTTAAGATGTCTTGTGTTTCCATGTTTAAGCTTGCTTTATAAACATGTTTGCTAAACTGCTGGTGGTTTGCTGGTGGGTTGGGTTAAGAGGGTTTTGTGTGTTCCTGAAGCTGGCTTTCCTGACTCTAATCGTGTGTGTTTTGTTCTAGAGAGCACAACAGTTTGCCAGCGCTGTGTTGCAGGAGCAGTGCCGGCCTTCTTATGTGAAGAAAGAGATGAGGAAGTTATTTGCGGAGAAATATAACGTGGACATATCTCCCTTCGTAAGGAAAAATATAAATGAAGATAGTTTATTTAAATATGAACCTCCTTTTGGATTTCACAAGTCCTTTGACAAGCTTAAAAATCTACTTGAACTCTTACCTGAGCACGATTTGCCAGAAGATTTGAAGTCAAAACAGTGTAAGCGTTGTGTTGTTGTTGGCAGTGGTGGAATCCTTCATGGGTCAGAGCTGGGTCACTTACTGGATCAGTTTGATATTGTTATAAGGTACGTATTTTCAGTTTAAGGATTCCAACTACTTCAACTTTGTGAGCTGACTGTTGTTTTTTAAGGGGAAAGTATCTCCAACATTTATACAACTTATAAAACTATTTCTGGAAGTTCTTTTAAGAAATTTACTTGTGACTTGATAGAATTTGAAGTCTTATGTCACATTTTTGTCATGTTCACAAGCAGGAATTCAGTGTAATTATTTCTGGACTTCGAGCTGGGTCACTTACTGGATCAGTTTGATATTGTTATAAGGTACGTATTTTCAGTTTAAGGATTCCAACTACTTCAACTTTGTGAGCCGACTGTTGTTTTTTAAGGGGAAAGTATCTCCAACATTTATACAACTTATAAAACTATTTCTGGAAGTTCTTTTAAGAAATTTACTTGTGACTTGATAGAATTTGAAGATACAAAAACAACAACAAAAAACCAACCAAACAAAAACCCCCCAAAAACCCCAAAAAACCAAAAAGCCACAGTCAGAACTGAGATAGAAACCAGCGAAATCTTAGACAAGTCAACAACCTTGTTCTTATCCATGCATATGTTTAAGCTTTCAGAAGTAGGCTTTCGGTCTCACCTCTGCCTTTTTTCCCCTTGGTTAGTTGGGATGATTATTTGAAGGATATTTTTTTTATAACAGCTATTTAAAACAAAATAAAAATTAATTGGTGCTTCAGTATACAGTATACTTACACATTGTATAGTATGCTTATCTTTCCTTATTTTTACAAGATCAGTGCATGAATACATGCTCTGTATTTGTGCTTCAGAAGTAGGCTTTCGGTCTCACCTCTGCCTTTTTTCCCCTTGGTTAGTTGGGATGATTATTTGAAGGATATTTTTTTTATAACAGCTATTTAAAACAAAATAAAAATTAATTGGTGCTTCAGTATACAGTATACTTACACATTGTATAGTATGCTTATCTTTCCTTATTTTTACAAGATCAGTGCATGCTTTTTATAATTACCCATGTTCTCTAACTCTGAATTAAATGAATACATGCTCTGTATTTGTGCCTTCTGAACATTACTGCTTAAACTCTTCTTTGTATTGTGAATCATGTAGTCACAAATAAAGACAAGCATTTTCCCAAATTGCTTTGTAAACTGAGTCTTGCTCCTTTTAAAAAGGGAAGACTTGATACAGTGAGTCAATAGCTCTTATACAAAGGTAAACAAACCTGTTGGCATGTGGAGGGGCAGAAAACTTGCATTAACTGTTCTCTGAAATTAGGGCTGTCAGCGTGAAAGTGACTTTTCTATTGATACAGAAAAGTTTGCGGGACTTAATGCTGTTCTTCAGAACTGATGGAGCTGGATGATGCTGTTCTTGTCAGCAGTGTGCTAGCATCTGAAATTTTTGGTGTGGTGGAATGATGTAAACCCGCAGGATGCATCACATAGTGTTGAAGAGATAATTTGAATGCCTTTCTGCATGTAATACTCCGAGTTGGCACAAGGCAATGATTATGAAATTCTGTAATGCTGCTTTAAGTTACTTTTCAATTCAAGCTTTTCTTCTTGAAGTTTTCCACTTGTGACAGTTAATCCAGAAATAGAATTGGCTTCCTCTCAAAGGTAAGGGATGGATGAGTGTGTGAGGTGAGGAACATGGAGATACTGAGAAAACACTGTGCTCCACTCTGTTAAAAATTTGTGGGCCCTGTAAAAGTTCTTTGCTTAGTGTCTGATGTTGTAATGAGATTGTGACCCATGCTTATTAAATACAGTTTCTCTTCATTGTGTAATTTTTTTTTTTATTAGGTTAAATGATGCACCAGTTCAAGGATACACAGATCATGTTGGTAACAAAACTACCATACGGATGACTTACCCAGAAGGAGCCCCCGTTTCTGAACACGAGTACCCTCCTGATAGCTTGTTTGTGGCTGTTTTGTTTAAAAGCGTTGATTTCAATTGGCTTCAAGCAATGGTGAAAAATGAAACCTTGGTATGTAATGTGGCAGCGTTACGTGCCCATGATTTTGGAGTGTTTTGTAATGCTTAAGAAGGTGGCTGATCTGTTACCTCATGTTTCGTTATACTGAGGATGTTTTTACAGTTGGTACCAGCATTCATGTTGAAGCCCCATGCTGACAATAGCACTTCTTTCCTGCAGATATTTGTGGTTTACACCAAGCTATGTGACGTATTGAGTGTTTACTAAAGTGGAATTCATTTCATATTAGGTTTAAGTTGTTCAAGTCTGCAGAGCCTGAAATAGAAATGAGATTTCTGAATGCCAGTCTTATTTTTTTTTTTAACAGCTAAAGTCTGTGCTGCTACAATAGGCATACCTGCAGTTAATGTGCAACTGCAGCATCACAGTTGTTAGTTCACATTTGTTTGTGGCTTAAAAATTAAGAGGTCATTTATTTCTCACTGAGTATTTAAAGAAGTGCAGAAATTTCCAAGGAACTGATAGAAAGGTTGCATGTTTCCAAACTGTCTTTAAATTGGTGGTTTTCACTTCTTTCAATTTGCAGGCAGATAATTTCTGCAAGTTGAAAACCAGAGGCTAGGTTTCTCTGACCACAGATTGAAAACAAGTGCTCTAAACTATTGAGAGGGATTTAAAAGAAAGCTTGTCAAGCTTTTAAACTCTGTGACCGTACTGGTTTAGATGCCCTTCCAAGTTCCCTTCTTGATTCTGTGATTTTTACAATATGAGAGCATGTGGAAGGTCTCTTTAATACTGACCGTGACTGTCTACTACTACTAGAGTCCAGAGAGTGTGTGCAGGAAGATGGGACCATGGCAACTTGGATTTGATCAGTTTAAGCTGCTGTAGAGTTTTATGTCAGGATAACAAGAAGTCTGTTTTAAAAAATATAGGTCTATGTTGCAGCTATATCAGTTTTATCATTTGCTTAGTGTTATGCATTACATGAAAAGATTTGTAAAATGAGGCTTAGTGGTGTTTTTTCCATTAGTGTGCATCTAATTGGCTGCAAGTGGCATGAGATCAGAATCTAGTTTTCTGAGTAGTCAAAAAGTGCAGTCAAATATTCAGAGTAAACAACTTGTCCCTCTGCTGTCCTCTCTGCAATTCCAAATACTTTGAAGGTGTGTCTTCTTCTGGGATAGTCACTTGAGCTGTACACTGGTATTCCTGAACCACCTTAGCTATAAACTGTTTTCTGAATTTCTCAAAATCATGTATGAATTCTATAACTTGTGTACTGCGTCTGCCATACACTTTGCAGTCTCAGAGTTTGCCTCTGAACTATTTTATTTTTTTCTTTTTCTCTTAGCCTCTGTTCGTGCGACTCTTCTTTTGGAAGAAGGTTGCTAAGAAAATTCCTCTTATGTCAAAGCAGTTTCGGATTCTGAATCCAGTCATCATCAAAGAGACAGCTTTGGACATTTTACAGTTCCCTGAACCTAGATCAAAATTCTGGGGATGGGATAAGGTAAGAAGCTTCCTTTTAGGAGAACGAGGCACTAAAACACAAAGTAAAATAAGTAACAGAAAAAAGTTTTGGGTTCTTCCTTAAATATAGTTTTTCTGCAGTTTCAGGGCAGGTCTCAAGTAATAGGGAAATTAACGCGCTTTCGAAAAACTCTGTTATTTTCTTGTGTAAAATCAAAATAGGATTTCAGCTCACCATAGATGAGGTATTATGTCTGTGCACGCTGACATGAAATGGCCTGTTTTACAAAGCAGTTGGCTTATATTCATTCCTCTACAGTGTGTTCGCTCACACATCATTGTGACTGGTGTCAAATATTCAAAACGTGCATTTGATGAATGTTAAGTGTGCGAAGAGCAGCCCTGTTAAGTCAAGGTAGCAATCAGCTATAGACAGATGGGTCTCCAGCTGCAGGGAAAGCAGAGGGAGTACGGAAACCAGGCCAGTGTAAAGCAACCTTCCAAATGTTGGAATTGCTGTGTATGCCAGTGTGCTCAATAGTAACTGAAGGGTATGTCCTACCTCCATGTCCTTTGCTCCAGCAATGGTATGGAGTGATGAGTTGCCCAATTTGATTATACGCTGTATTTTTGTTATTTTAATTATTTGTGTGAGAAATTGGATTTCACTAGTTCTCTTGACCTATGAAAAGAATAACAATGGTTTCTTTAGCTTTTGTGTGACAGCACTTGATGGTAGCGTTACTGCACAGTGTTTGAAGGATCTTCTTGTGCTAATTTATAAAAATAGTGTAACATACCAAGCTGTGTATCTTTCAGTTGTATTATAGTATACTTGCCTTCCTCAGGGGTTGTTTGGTGAAAGGTCATATTCTGAAGAATACCATTAGAGGGTCTGTTGCTTAAGTCTGAAGTAAGCATACATCAAGAAATGTCAAGTTTAACTGCATGTCAGGAGTTGTTTGAGTGTTTAGAGCAATGGTTCACTTGCAGTTTAACTACATAGTAATAGGGCATCTTGCCTCCACAAAAAAAGGATTGTTGACAGCCAAAAGTCTTGTTACAGGCAAGTACCCAAGTTGTACTAGTATTTTGTCCTGAAGGTTTTACTTGATCCCTTAATTGATTTTAAGTTCTAGCTGCAATTGATTGTTTAATTGATTTCAGTTTTAAGTGAGGAGAGGGAATACGGAGCTGTTAAGTTTTCTGAAGTGTTTATAAAACTGGCAAAGGAGAATGTATTTGAATTCAGCAGACTTCTTGGGTTTTTTCCCCCCTTTTTAGAATGTACCTACGATTGGGGTCACAGCAGTTGTTCTGGCCACACATTTATGTGATGAAGTGAGCTTGGCAGGATTTGGATATGACCTCAATCAGCCCAACGCACCTTTGCACTATTACAACAACCTCTGCATGGCTGCCATGAATGGACAACCTATGCACAACGTGACAGGTGAAACAAAATTCCTACAAAAACTGATCAAAGAAAAAGTTGTCAAAGACCTCACTGGTGGGATACATTGTGAATTCTGTGGCAAAGACAGCTAGTGATTGAAGTGCGGCACGGTTTGATAAATTTCCAGACGTTCAGCTGGAACAACCTTTTCACTGTCTTAAGTTTTCTTTAAAGTGCGTATCGAATGGATGTGGAATCTCCGTTGCCTTTTTTAATATCACATTCAATTTGTTGGACTTTTACATTTATTTTGATGTCAGATTTTACTTTGCACAATCTTGTGGATAACTATGTAAATACAATTTGGAATTGAAAGAGACCCAATTTAAATATTTAATATTTTATGTTGTCTGAAGAAAAGCAGAGGTTTTGTTTTCAGATGTATATGGTACGCACAATGCTAGCCCGAGCTGTCTAACAGCATACAAGAGTGTTATTTACCACTGAACTACGGTCTTAGTTGATCCAGTTTTTGGTGTATGACTCCTTTTCGTGCATGCCATGAAAAGAAAGGCGTGTGCTTCTGAAATCTTTCATTTCTTTTAGCTTGAATGCTGTGTTTCCCCCTCAAATATTTATATTCTTTTGGTTTTGTGGTAATGTTTTTTGGGGTTGGAAGAGGAATGTGGGAGTGGAGGTGAAGGAAAAAGAACTGTTGTGGCAACAACTGAATAGCAAGTACTTGGGTATTCATGATTGATATTAAAATCACTGATGCATTCATTAATGTATTTGATTAGAATCCTGCTTTATCATGAGGCATGTTTGGACCCAGGGCACGCTATAGGAGGATTTAACCAGTAGGAGACTTTCACCTGAATGAGATTTTTTTGTCATTTCCAGTCCTTAAGACCCAGATAAATGTTTCGAACTAGTTGATCTGCAGCAGAGCTCAGCTACTGCAATTAAAGAAGTGGCAAAATCTGCTTGTTCCCTCCCCCCCCCTTTTTTTTTTCAGTGACTTGAGAATTTCTTGTTCTATAAAACACTGGTTTATATAAAGCTTCCATTTAGCAATAATAGAATTGATGACTAAGTTAAAATTTCCATTGGTTTACTTTATGGTCTTTACATAATGAATTAGAGATACCGTAACCTTAATAGTTTACAGTGATAATAACCCATATGAACTCTAGCGTTGGCTATTTAATTGAAGGGAGAGGTAGAGTTGTTGTTTTTAAAGTTAGCAATTAGGTGAGTGTGTGTAAGTTGTGGTGTGATCTAGTAGCAAGCTGAAAGCAGCATACTTAACTATAACAGCAACTATAGATAAATGTTCATGTGACTGGAAATAAGTGCATTGCAAAGAAACTGGACTCTGTGAATCTGCAGGCAGGTTTTGGTGTTCAATTTGTTACTAGTAGAGTAGCAGGTATGACTGTGTTTGCACTGAGTAGTGTTATTACTCAAAGCTACAATATGTGAACAATGCTTTCATTGGGAATGAAAACTCATGAGAAAATGGATCAAAGATTGACCTAGAAACATTGTTCATAATCATGGACACTTCACATGGTGAACACTCCCACTTTTTTGTTGTTGTTACGGGAAAAGATATGAATGTAGTTTTTAAGTTTTCAAAATACTAATGTGGGAAAGCAAGAGTAGGGTGGCTGGGGTTTTTATTTTTTATTTTCATTTTTTTTCCATGAAGAGATGATTTCATGAATGATAATGTTAGAATGCAGTAGAGCAGACTGATTCTGGCCTTTATACTAAAAGGCAATAAAATGACACCAGATCATTGGACCTCATCTTTCATAAGTCCCATGTACCTTTATGTCCTTGAAAGCCAGTTGTGGATGGTGAGCAAAGTTCAAGAGCAGATCTTTATCTCTGGGACTGTTTGTGTTTATAGCAATAATATTAATTGAACTTCTCCTCTGTGAAACTTGCTCATTTTTGTACTAGCAATACATTTCTAGTCTGTGTTTTTCTTGTAAGTATAATAATTATATTGTTTAATTTAAAAATATTTCATGTGTGAAGAGATTTATACAGATAGTCTTTTAGTTAATATATTAAAATGCACTAATTATTTTCTCCTGCTATTTAAACTGGAAGCGAAGTACCTTAATTTCATTTGTCATTAGCGAAACCTTGGAAGAGTTTGGAACGTGTGTGTTTGGGAGGACATTCTGCATACACCAGAAGTATGTGTTTCAGAGCACTTGGTCCCTCACCACTTTGCTTTATTCAGTATCTTTAAAATAATCAGTTGATCAATGTAAACGCCAATAGCTTTTTGGAGATGCTGTATTTACTGTCAAATGCTGGAATTATGTTGATGTAGCATTAGATTGTTTTCCCACCAGTTTTATGGCTTGTGATGAAACGTCGTTCTCTGTGGTAGCGTAATGCTGCGTTGAACACTCCTGCACAGACTTGACCATCTGTGAAATGGCAGCAAAGTTCGGGTTGCAAAAAGCAATAAACTGATGAAACCACTTTCTATTTATGTATGTGTCTCACAGTTTGCAATTTGTTCTGCCTCCTGTGTAAAGGATTTTGTGTGTCTTACTGGTTCAATTGAAAGTCTTGATGCAATCTCAGGTACTCAAGAAGAGGGGAATTAGTTGCTGATGATGCATAATTCTTTCTGCTTTCACTTATGCCTTTTTAATACTTGTCAGTGGAGTTCTAGCTCTCTGGTGCCTGGAAGAGAGAATCCATCTCAATACTGACCATACTGTAGGTATGAGAGTATTTGAGGCTAAATTAAAGTACTGGCCTGAAATTCAAGGGTGTGTGTCCTTCAACGGTGGAGAGACACGGCGGCTTCTGGTCTGTGCTTCAGTCTCACTGGAGGTGCACTAAGAAAAAAACCTGTGTGTGTGCGTGCTGCTGTGTCCCAGATCTTACGTTTTGCAAAGACTCTGCATCATCCCTTGTGGATATGCCTGAATGGTGTGTGTTTAAAAAGTCAACAAAGAATTTGGGAGCAGTAATAATGCCATTGTCCCCCACATCAGAATTTCTCTTTGGAACTCTCGTCTCTGTGTAGCAGCTGTCACAGTTGTGTATGTGTCTGACCTGTTCTGATGCTGATTTTTTTGTCATGGTTTCTGTGCAGGGAACATGACTTTGTCCTCCCTTCAATTTAGTGGTTGCTAAGTACTTGCATTATCTGTTACGCTTCAGTCTTTCAGGTGAGCTAAATAGAAGTTCTCTATTAGGACTAAGTGATTCAGAAACTCCTTTGAAAATTTAGATAATTTATGAAGCTGCTTTTTTTTTTTTCTTTCAATATGTTCAGATTTTTACGGCTGCTTAAGGAATAGCAAAAGAGATGAAGATCATACTTATTTTGCCTAGATCCAATTTGTTCAAACAAATGGAAACTTGGAATTGCCAAGTGTGAATTTATGATGCTGCTTTTCAAGTGTTTATAGGAGTTCCCCACCCAGAAGGCTTATCTTCAGCTGGGGACAAACTGATGTCACCTTGGAAAAGTACAAGTAAGGTTACAATTTGTTTGTTATGAATACCACCAATGTGTGAGAGATCCACTTGCCTGCAGAGTGGGAAAGTACAGAAAAGGGAGGTCACTGACCAGTTGACATTGGAGCTGGATGTTGAGCTCATAGGGTTGTCTGCTGAGATGCTGATAGGAACTGAAGAGCAGTTCAGCTCCGATGTGTGCCGATAGCTTCAGCTCTCGTGCTGCAATTGAAGATCCAGCCAGAGTGGGAGGGGATCAGAGGGGGCAGCTGAGTAACACAAGTGGGATCTTTTTGCCTGTTGCCAAAAGACCTCATGCACCTCTGTTAAGGCCTCCGGCCTGCCAGCAGCAAGGTTTTATGCAAATACCTGATTTTACCAGCACTTGGATCTAGCCTTCTGAGATTCTGTTGCCTGGGAAGGCTCTTGACTTTCCTAATTTCAAATGTACCAGGGGTGATGGTATTCCATGGAGCTATTTTATTTTTAAATAAATCCAGGATATATATGCTGACAAACTAACATTTGTTGCTGTCATCTAAAATGAAAGCTCTTCCTTTCCCTGGAAAGAGCAACCTTGCCCATATGTTAAAAACAAAGCTCAGGAAAATCCTGCCTGGTAGGGCTGAGATAATTACCAACTTGGGCAAAACTGGAGGATATGATGCTATTTAAAAATGCCGCTGATGAAAAGCTCGTTGCTGTTGAAGAAACCATTGCCTGAAGTGACATATGACCAGATCCTAATATGAATTAAAGGATGGAAGGGGTGTGAAGAGGGACAGCTGAGCCCTGCTATGAAATGCAATGCCTTTGTTCTGCAGCCACCTAACCGTGGAAATTACCTTCTTGCAGCAGCACAGGTCTTGACCTGAAAGTTCCTAAAGCTCTCTGAGTTCTATTTGTAGACAAAAATAGGTACATCCGGGTCGCAGCAGGTTTGAGTGGTTTGGCATCTGCCTTGCCCCATGTCTCATGAGGAGGTGCTGGAAGGCAGGTGACCCACTCATCGAGTACCCGAGGGGCTTGGTCACACCACACCTAAAACTCCCTCACCTTTTCAGAGGCACACAAAAAGTACTTGTTACAAGCAGAGAGTTCAGGGTTCTCTGCCTCGTTGGCTATTTTCTTTATTTTCCCTAGAACAACTCAGTGAGCTGAAGCACCCACCCACATGTGCACCAGTGGTGTTGATCACACAATTGGGTATCGACTGTCTGCATTTCAGCATGTCCCCAGCCAAAGGCGGGGTTCAGCCAAAGGGGACACACTGAACTACTGCAACCTGCTCTAGGTGGACCTGCTCTGGCAGGGAGGTTGGACTAGATGATCTCCAGAGGTCCCTTCCAACCCCATATCGTTCTGTGATTCTCAGAAGGGTACGTGTGTCCCAAGGTGAGTTCTCTTATTTGTATGATCAAAACTTCCTACACTTTGAAACGTATATAATCTTCCTCACCATTCCTGGGAAGGAGTTGTGGTGGCTCGTAGCTCTGTGCTGGTCTCTGTAACAGCAGCTAGGGACCTGTGTGCTGCTGTGTGGAAATCCTTCTGCTCAGATGCTACCTTCACTGCTCTGACACTACCAGAGCTCTGGTGGGAATGTGCTGCCACCCAGGTGTTGGGCTGCAGGCTGTGCCCTACTCTTGTGCCAGTACCGCATGGCAGCAGTGAGCTGTGGGAGGTGCCCTCAGCTAGAGGAACTCCTCGGCTTGGTGTTGGAGCTCTGGGATGAGGTGAGTAGGTTGAGGAGGGTCAGGGAGTGCTAGAGAGGGATAGACTGCTGGAGTTGCAGCCTGCCTGCCTTGGGACAGGCCTGGCAGGCAGACAGGATGCATGATATGGAGGGTCCATAACATAAATCCCTATCCTGTCTCCATGTGACTTAAGGGATAAGGGGCAACAGCAACAAGTTGCTGACTGGAGCAGCAGACACGTCTCCTCTGTGACTACCCCACCTTCCCAGGTGCCCTTGTACAATAGGTACGGGGCTCTGCAAGTGGAACCAAACAATAACAAGGATGATGGTAGATCTAGCTTCACCAAGAGGTGAAGTCAACCTCTGCCCTGTGTCAAAACTGCTTCTGTAAAGAAAAATAAGACGGGTCATTTTCATAGGAGACTCCTCTCTTCTGATGGGAAGAGAAGGCATATGCAGACTGGACCTGCTTCTTAGGGAAGTCTGCTGCCTCCCTGGGGCCTCGGTTAAAGATGTGAAGAGAAAGCTTCCTACCCCTGGTATGGACCTTGAATTGCTATCCATTGTGGACTTTTCAGGTAGGCAGTGATGAAGTTGCAAGAAGAAGTCCAAGGGCAATCAAGAGAGACTTCGGGGCCTCAGGATGACTGGTTAAGGGATCAGGAGCAGGAAAATTGTTCTCCTCTATCCCCCTAGCTGCAGGGAAGAAACAGGAAAAGCCAGCAGATCAACACCTGGCTCCAAGTGTGGTGACAAGTGTGGGGTTTTTGATTGTGGGTTGGTTTACCCAATGCCAAGCCTGTGGGTGACAGATGGGCTACACCTGTGTCCCAGGGGGAAAAGGTTCCTTGCACAGAAATTAGCAGGGCTTATGGGAATAGCAGGCAGAAAAGGACCTGGGGCGGTTGGTTGGCAGCAGGATGAATATGAGCCAGCAGTGTGCCCAGGTGACCAAGAAGGCCAATAGCATCCTGGCCTGTATCAGAAATACTGTGGCTAGTAGGACTAGGGGAGCGATCCTCACCCTAACCTAATCCCAACCCTAACCCTGATGCCAATAGCATCCTGGCCTGTATCAGAAATACTGTGGCTAGTAGGACTAGGGGAGCGATCCTCACCCTAACCTAATCCCAACCCTAACCCTGATTGAGGCTGCACCTCAAATGTGTCCAGTTTTGGGCCCCTCACTGCAGGAAAGATGTTGAAGTGCTGGAGCATGTCCAGAGAAGGGCAATGAAGCTGATGAAGGGTCTGGAGCACAAGTCTTATGAGGAACAGCTGAGGGAACTGGTGTTGTTTAACCTGGAGAAAAGGAGGTTGAGGGGAGACCTTATTGCTCTCTACAACTACCTGAAAGGGGGTTGTAGTGAGGTGGGGGTTGGTCTCTTTTCCTGAGTAACAAGTGATAGGGCAAGAGGAAATGGCCTGAAGATGCACCAGGGGAGGTTTAGATCGGATATTAGGAAAAATGTCTTCATGGAAAGAGTTGTCAAGCAGTGGAACAGGCTGCCCAGGGAGGTTGTTGAGTCACCATCCCTGGAGGTATTTAAAAAATGTATATTTAAAAAAGATATATTAAAAGATGTGGCACTTAGGGTTATGGTTTAGTGGTGGACTTAGCAGTGCTAGGTTAACAGTTGGACTTGATCTTAAAGGTCTTTTCCAACCTAAACAATTCTATGATTCTGTGATTTATTCCTTGCACCTCTCTGTACCAAAAGTATTGCGGTTGTACAGCAAAAGCAACAAGACTTTTTTTTTTTTAATTGAAAAGAATGCAATAAGATGCCTGCCTTCAAGCACAGCAAGGGATCTTTTGGTGGTGACCAGGTTTGTGTTCCTCACAAGCTGGAGTTCAAACTTTACCATGTGACTGACTCTTGGATGGTTGTGATGCTGTCAATAGCAGCTCTGATGGTTAAGGTAGGAAGCAGGCATTAAATCTACTGTGCTACGACAATTTTTTGTTGTTTATGTTAATATGCAAGGTCAGGAATTACTGGGACTGGGTTTTAAGGTGAGGGAGTAGGGAGGCAATGCCTGTAAATTTTGTTAATCTCTTCAGCTACCTGCCTGTTCCAGCTGATTCACCCTTTTCTTCTTGCCCAAGCACCTCTGCATCACCTCTTTGTGGTTTAACAAAAAAGCCCTGTGGTTGGATCTTGACTGAAGTTCTCATGCCCCTTAACACTTGAATTTTCCAGCCTGTGAACTGGAATTGGAACTGCTCACGCTTGCAGGGTTGAGCAGGGCTGAACGTAGGGGGTTTGTCTCCCTCCTAGGTCATCTGCTTGGTCATTCATTTTCACAGCCTGCCT